TATATATACCGTCATACAACATATACTGTAGTATTACCACAAGATAGTTTTGTGTTTCTTTGAATTATTCACACAATACAATTTCTAAATACAATAATACACTTAATAAATGATGTAAGTATAAACAATCGATTGTCAGTTGATTATTAGACCTACGGTAATAGAATCAAACTTGGTTTGATGTTCAATCATTAATACAGGCCCAAACAATTATAACTTATATCAAAAGTTCAGTATCCCCTGTGTCAAAATGAGATGTATTTCTTAATACATGTTTGTATGTTTGTGTGTGTGGGTGTGTGTGCTGTTAGGCCGTAACACATCTGTTTATGTGCGTTTAGTTGTAGGCCTATTGTTAAATGCTTTCCCAGGCACTAAGTATTTTTCATGGTATTTTTTTATGTATTTATTGTTTCGTTGATGTTGTTGGAACAAATATTTTATCACGTCGTTTTGAATATTCAGATTGATAGTTTATTCTAAAATTGTAAACCGTGATGTCATGGTGACGTAGGTTGTGCTTCTCTAAAGATCGGTACAAAGACAAAGTGCCTGTATGGAACGCCGTTAAAGCAACAATTCAATGATAGCCAGTGAACCGTCGATGATGTAAAAGGTAAATCGCCGATGATGAAATGTAAATCCTCGATGATGAAAAAAGTTAATCGTCGACGATAAGAAGAGATATATTATAAAAAGAAAGTGAAAAAAGAGATATGTTTATAAAAAGATAATGAATCTTCGATTATGAAATGTGAACTGTCGATGATGAAAAAAGTTAATCTTCGATGATAAGAAGTGAATCGTCGATGATGGAAAAAGTGAATCGTGGATAATGAAATTATCAATTATTATATTATAAAAAGAAAGTGAAAAAAGATATATTTATATAAAGAATGCGAATCGTCGATTATTAAATGTGAACTGTCGATGATAAAAAAATTAATCTTCGATGATAAAAAGGGAATCGTCGATGATGAAAAAAGTGAATCGTGGATAATGAAACAAGTGAATCGTCGATGATGAAACAAGTGAATTGTCCATGATGATGAAACAAAATCGTCTATGATGAAACAAGAGAATTGTCGATTGTTGAAACGAGTGAATCGTGGATGATAAAACAAGTGAATTGTCGATGATAAAACAAGTGAATCGTCGATGATGAAACAAGCAGGCCCGTAGGAAGCAAATATTATTGGTCCGGCCAACGGGAAGAAATCCCCACCCCGTCCCTCCCACAGCTTCATCCCAGAGAGCGTTATATACCAGTGGCTCGGCGCTATATGAGGGTCGAAGTTACTCTCGATGAGAATCAAGAGTTTAGCTCCATCATAGATGGTGAGAAAATTGTTTTAAAAATGTACCACCTGATGCCAGGAAATGGCTCTACAAGACTGTGTTCTCTACTATTTTCCTACGAAGAATTTTGTTCCCCAGCTGTTGGCGCTGACACTGGTGTTTCCCCATTTCCGAAATAACGTATTTTTGAAAGAGTATGTCCTGTCATGGAGGAATTAGTTTAGAATTAGTTTTATAAACTAATTCCTCCATGGTCCTATAAACATTATTCTTACCGGTTTTACTTAAGAACAGAGGCGAACATGTTCCAGACTGTGCAAGCACCCATTGTTTGACAACCTACAGAATTCGTAAGGGGATTTTCATAGTGGACCCAGCTTAAGTTTTGAAATATAACACCCTAGACAGTGGCATATCTAGTTTAGGCCTATTTTAATTCATGTGAATTATATAAATGTATAAGTCTATTGCGAAAATGATAAATTGATCAAAATTTAATTTCTAATCCGTACCAAAAATATGAATTGAGTTTCTTATTTCCCCATGAATAAATAAAGTGCAAGGAACACGAATACATAATACAAAGAATAACAGAGAGTGTCTATATTTACACAACATGCAGGGTATTGTGAAATATTAACAATATGCAATTAAATTTTGCGAATACACAGGATGCAATATTCGATGCATTATATTTGGAAATAGGCCTACAGATTAACGAATACCGTAGAGTTTCCAATAACTTAGTGATAGTACAATTTTAATTTCACATACTTGCCAAATTCAGTCTGAAGCAATGAATTATTGTCACACATGAATTGCGCTTTGTACATTCACTTGAATTATTAAAAGTTGTTTTAATTAAATGCTCCGTTTGCTTCTGCTAGGCCTTATTTCGATTACACTTTAGTTTTAGTCAATTATGGTAGACAGCCCAGGTGCTGTAGGTAAACCTCCATGGACGGATCTACCAGGTGATAAAGACATAGGCCTACCTAATAGAGCACTAAGATTCAATGACGATCCAGCTACCTCTGTTCAAACGCAATGCAAGGGCAGATACAGGATTTTAAGTTGGTGAAAGTGTGTTTAAAAATTGACTCCTCCGTCGAGCGCTTCAAAGAATGAATGTCCATCACTTTGGGGTTTAAAATTTAATTGCAAGTAATCATGGCCTTGAGGTCAGGGGTTCGGAACTCTCGCTGTGCAAGTCGCTTGTGTCCTTGGGCAAGGCACTTTATCTACGTTTGTCTCTCTCTACCCAGGAGTATAAATGGGTACCCGGTGGTTTACTACTGGGGAGGAAAAAAAGCGGCACGGAAAAGAACTGGCCACCCTACCACACAATACCGAGGCTTAGTACAATGGGATCACAGTTCATTCCCCTACGTTCAGTAATGAATATGGGACTACCTTTACCTTTAATCAGGGCCGCCTTGACCCGTATACCTTGGTGTGGTGATGACAATATTGGCCGAATCAAGCCCCAACATTTTTAGGGGTTTACGTTTATTTATCTTATTTGTTTCTTTTTTCCAAACCAACAGCAAACACAAAGTTCGCCACTTACAGGAGGGAACACATAAAACCTCAGCGAACAATACAAGTAATATATTCTAATTAAACCAAAGTACTTATAATATTACGAAACAAAAAATTTATATGTATTTTCTACTTATTAGTAGACTCTAAAAATTATTAAATAAGAAACCACTAAATTATAATATTTTTTGGGGACTTCGGCCCCTGGAACACTTTCGATAGAGCGACGCCCGACCACGCCGACTCTCTATCTTCGGGGACATCGCCTTCTCCACTTCTCGACGTCGGAGACCTTGAACCCCCGTCGGGCAAATCATGGCGCTACCACTGCCAGTGGTCTCGGATTGGAGGGGGGAAAACTGTATTTCAAAATGTATTCAATGAAACTGTGTGGTACATTTTCATTTAAAAAGGCATGTTAGGGGTCTGCGCAAAGTAATGCAAGTTTTTGAAATTCTCATGAAGCATAATTATTCTTTAGACACGACTTAAGTTATTTACTTGTTTGGTATTCAATTAAATATCCTTTCCGTGTGTGGGTCTGTGGTTGTGTGTGCTGAGTCATGGTTAGATCATGATCAGACCTTGTTACTTGCTAAAAAAAATTGCCACCCTTTAAGAACCTATGCATCTTTTAGAATCATCGACGATTGTTTCATCAACGACGATTTAACGACGAGGGGGTTAAGCCACGTCGGAGGCCAAATCACCCATATTCGGCAACGATATATATATATATATATATATATATCAACTACATCGTCTGAATAATATGATCTTTGTCGCTACGCGCTGCGTTATCCATCCATCTCACTTTTCTTTGACAAGGCGACATTCAAAATTAGCAGAATAGCGTTAAAGTGAGAAGAAACAAAAGTCACCGAGCGTCTCTTACATACACGGAGGTATTGATATACCACTATATTGACGCTATATAGGAACGCATGAATGCGAGTCAACTCGGCCCCAAGCAGTCAACCCAAGAAGTAGGAAAAGTTATGATTATGGCACTTCTAGATGACCGAAAATGGTACTCAGACTTAAACTTGGATATAATTTTCTTTTTCTCTCAAATTTTGACAAATTTAGGGGCCCGGGCAGACTGACCCTTCCATTGATTCCGCCCCTAAGTGATGAGGAATGACACGTTGAATGTGGAGATGTAACTTGGCGGTTAAGATGCGTGCCTTCTCAATCCAACCCTAGAATTCTCGGTTCAATTCCTGTGACGCAGTAAAATTTTTCCCTCACGACTTAAAACATCGTCACTTTCAAAAGCCTGGTACTTTCTGCGTCGTACGAGCGTCAGCCGACGAATTCAACTCTGCTCAATGTGAACGTTAGGCTAGACGATGCGATGCTGTCTGTGGCAGCCTAAACAGATCGCCATTAAAAACGACCCGTTACGTGCGCGTCGCAGTGAGTGCCCGACTTAAGCCTCGACCTTATGAAAAGGTTTTAAAAAAGGCCTATTTATAGGTCTATTGTTTTATTTCGCCCTAGTTAAGAGCGCCTCTAAAAATCAATTGACCTTTTACTATAAAGTGCTTTGAGTCAACGTATGGTTTTTTTTAATGGATTTTACGGTAGCTTTAACCTTGGCACCCAAATAGGAAAATGTTTATTTTCTATTATCTGGCTCAGTGAAGCTTGCATATTCCAAGAATTTGTGTTTCTTATTATGATCTAGTTATTGTGCCTGGTTCTTCAAAATCCAGCACCGAAAAGGTTTATGTTACGAAAGGACAATAAGTTGGTATTGTAAACAGCAAGGTTATTCATGTCAACATATGTTTTGATGAATGTAGGCATAGTACTTTAACATCCAAATACATTCAATTGTTATAACAATCGTGAAAAAGTTTCTGATGAGGACTTCATGCTGCTACGCAGTGCTGTTGCGCACGTTAAATCGTACAGTAGGCTTGACAGTGTTTGTTTATCCTTCATAACTTTTCAGAGATAGACCTTCATGACATGCTATAGTATATAGGATGGATTTAATTACATTTCTTTCATTGAAATTTTCGTTTAAGGTTTAAAAAATGCATTATTGTATGAACTTCCCTCTGTATGTCATGTAATATAATAATAGTATACGAAAAATTGTTTATTTTGGTATACTTGCATTTATACTATAAACATTTATTACAATCCAAGAAAATGATTGCTAGTTTGATATCTATCTATTAATATGTATTTGCTTATGAACGTCAGCGACAGTAAATATTTACCCTATCATGTTGTGGGCAATTATATATGCAAAGGACCAGCATGTCTGACGTTCATGTGAAAATCGACAGAAACGACATTTACAGACAAGTGTCTATAGTACCTTAATATATTTCTTTTTTTTTCACATGCAGGATACTGTCCGCCACCAAATGATATCCGTTAGTACTATCTTATTACTGTAATAGCATTGCTTTATGATATAATAACCGGGACTTATCTCTATAATTAGTTGAAACGGAATGCTAGGGCACTGTTCTCTGCTTACAACCATTCAAGATGCGTTATCTTACAGGCTATGACCCTCGAAATAATTATGTAAAAGGTCAACTTACTGATTTACCTATGTTTGAAGTTCATGGCACGCCCTCCTCCCCATAACAGCAAATTAGTTCCACCAAAGATCTTATAAACACAAGATAGCGTTCTCCGCGATTTACGCGTGCAAGTTCTGTAATAAGGCATGAAAGGCGCCCTCTTGCTAAATTGGAAACTTTTGACCTTTGACCGCTATGACCATACCGTAAGTCTGTGAACAGCAGAACAGGAACCATCTCAAATCCATGGCAACAGATAGGACGCCCTCTTCCAAAACTGATTACTTTTTTTCTTTGGTATAATAGCGCATGAATGACGCCCTCTTGCTAAATTGGAAACTTTTGAACCTTGACCGACGCTTCTATTTGTTACGCTTAAATCGCGGAGAACGCTATCTTGTGTTTATAAGATCTTTGGTTCCACTAAGTTAGTTAAATGACCATTAAGTGTTCATTGGAATTTAAATTTGATTTCGCTTTCTCATTTTTTGCATCCCCCAGTTCCGCATTCTCAATTTTTGTACACCCTCCCGAGGATGAAACCATATGGCTACGCCCCTGAATTATGAATGATTTTTTCCCAAACATGTGAGAGATTCTATAATTTCGAACCGCTTGCACCATATACCAGTAGTACACAAAAACAAATTCTTGTTTTCCACTAGGCCTAACCTACCACTAATTTTAAAGGGCTTTTATTTTCAAATGCTATTTTTCCAGAATAGGTATAAATTGTGTTTTGATTCGGGACCAATTAGGCTGGGAAATTTTTTTTTTACAAAATTACAATGTCATACATAACTGGGATAATGAATGCCTATATTTGGTTAGATTAAAAGTTAAAAAGAAATGTACCGATGACTTTGAATGAGTGGGCATCATTTTGTGATATTTCTGATGACACACACACACAGGCAACAATGTGCTTCTGCTGGTATGTATACAGTATTCCCCTTTATATAAATAGACGAGTCTAAATACGTCACAAGTACGTCATTCTTGTTGACAAAGTATCTTAACATAAATCGAGAAGTGTAGTCTATACTTCACCTGATGATAGTGCTACATACATCGCATAACAACATAGAAAGGTAGGATAAAAATCTAAACGTTTCGGATAAAATATAAAATGACACACGGTTCCCAGTTAAAACCAGCGAAAAACATGATCGAAACTCTACGCAGCTCACCTCAGATAATTAGACGCAAGCTATTTCCTGAAGTCGCAAACCCCATTCAGAGTGGTTCAAGAGCCGTGTTCGATTTATTCTACTTGGGTCGTGAAGAAATCACAACATTACAACTATCCCATGCAATCAATGCAGTACGAGGAACAACAATGGAACGGAAGAAAAGGAGAAGTTTAAAATCGAAAAAGTGCAAATTACGAATTAACGATTCGATGATTGCTATTAGCACTGGTCCGGGCAACTGTGAAAATGAAATAATAGAACTACATAAGATTGCGTATTGTGCGTTGGACCAACGCTTTCCCTCCGTAGTTTTAATAATCGCACGCCAATCAACGACAGATAAATTATTTGTGCACATGCTACTATGTGGAAAAACCGAAGAGGCAGCGAATGTTGTAAGGACAATGGAATTAACATTCCAAGCCGCGTGGGAGAAACATGTTCAATTGGAAACTAACGACAATGAAAACAATAAAACGGTAAGAAAGTAATATTTGTATTACTATAAACGACTCATTATATTGGGCGGCTAGTAGTTAACGGGACATTTTGGCCTCAAAACGAGAGAAGATAGGCCCCTATACGGTATATTTAACACTACGGCCACTAATCCCTATTTAGTTAACACCCCTAGGGAACATTTGTTGTTCCTAAACGTGGGTTCGTCTGTACTATGAACAAGTATGTAGACCACAAAGTCACACACTTGGCGGTGTATGACTACACTTGGCGGGGGTGTGATTTCTTTTTGGAAATCCTTTGTAACTTTCATAATAAGTGGCATATTTTCACACGCTTCCGATTATTGTTTCCGGTCATTGACCGAAATCCGTGCCGAAGCGACACGGTATATCGCTATCATACACGATTTCTGTATGGGCCTAGATTAAATCGAAGTGGTTAGAGAATTATTCATATAATACCATATTCACAATTTATCCAAGGCTATTCTTTTGTCGCTAATTTTTAGTCACATGTTTTTCTCTGTGAGCTTAGCAAATCACTCTGCCATGAAAATAAATATATTTCAAAGTGGGTGTGTGACTCATTGAAGTTTCTCTGGTTAAAAAAAAGCCTAGGCCCTATAACAATCAATTTAAAGGGGTGCACCTTATATACAAGTGCTTGAGGTCTCTTATGTTACTACATCTGAATGGATCTAACCACATTTACAACTTAAACAATATTGTGACATGATAACTCATAGGCCTACACGTGATTATTAATTTTCGTTTTTTTGTCTTATGTTTCAATTATTTTGTTACAGATTTGCTTCTTAATTTTCATTTCTTTGTAATACCTGACAAACAAACAAGACTACAAAATGTTTAAACCAATGTTTTACCTAACGACCGCCTTCAGGCATACCTTGACAGAAGACATAATCGTGGATGAACTATTATATTATTATATGATTTACTCATAAAAAGATATCCCTGCGCCATACATCCATCAGTATAATCAATATATTGTTAAGGGATCATTTTGGGCAAGTTTTCTAAATTCTAATTCGATTCATAAATCGTAATTTACAGCTTTATGTTGTACTGTATATTTTCAAAAAAGATTTGAATAAATGTTAGTCTGAATCAGAAAAACGTGATAAAAATCAACGAATGCATTTTTTTCTACTTTGTTTTTCAGAACACGAATGAAACAATGACAAGGAGAAAACATCTTATTACTCTGGCTGCCATCGGTAATAACTCAGTGCTCAAGTCTTCTGTTGTATGACGCGCGCAGTTCAGAACTGACCAATCGAATTATCAATTAATGGATGATGTCATAAGGTGCAGCTAAATGATTTGCTAATCATTTAAACATTACGTAGATGGTACGAACGTGATCAGATGGTGAGGGAGGCAATAACACACAGAAATTCGTATTCCATCTTACTTGTGTTTAACACTCTTGGCAAACGTTCCTGGCATATTATATATACATAGGCCCTAATGGTCAAACAATAATTGAACAGCCTACTGTACACACAAAATGAACAATAAGTTGCGTGCCTCCGGTTTCCATCGTGTAGGCCTGTAAATATATATTAGGTCTAGGTCAAAAAGCTAATAGCATAATTAATCGAAGCATAACAGCATGTTGTTTTAATACATGCCGAAACGATCGATACGATTCAAGTGCTTGTGCTCTTGATGAGTAAATTATGTAAAACCTTGAAACTTTTTTTTTCTCTGTTCAGATATAAAATGTCGGCAATCGCAGTGATAGGCCATTGTCCGAGCGCGATTGTTACTGGTGGGTATCGAACCACGGTGACTTTGGGTGCATGCTTCCGGCCACCTTATATAGTAGGCCTATAAATGTAATTTTTGTGCGGTATTTTATTGACATGCTAATATAATAGGGGCATGATGAAATGTTGTCCACATTGCAGCTTTTATTACCAAAATGATTCCGAAACTGTAAACACTCATTCCATGATTATGAATGGGCACACCCCCTCTTTATAAGCCCCTAGTTTTAGGTGCTGTTTCATACCTACTTGTAGGCCTACAGTATACTGTTGCAGTTTAGGAGATTCGCATGTTTATAATTAGTGTATATTTGTAAATATTTAAATTATAAGCCAACTAATGATAACCTGCATTGATATTTATTTTTAATTTTTTTTTTTACAAATTTATGTCTCGAACAGGGATGTTATGCAAAAGGTAATTGAAAAAAAATATGAAATGAATTACCGTATTATGTGCTAAAATATCAGTATTATTCGACTCTGTATTGAAAGTTTGAATAAAGTTGTCTGTAATCGTTCTTGTGTTTCAGATTGCGTCGTTAAGTCAAGGGAAGGGGAACAATGATGATGAATATGATGATGGTATAATAATAATAATAATAATAATAATAATAATAATAATAATAATAATAATAATAATAATAATAATGTAATACTACTAATAATAATAATATAAACAATGATGATGTTAATATAAATATTAACAATGACAATCATACAGAATAAATAACAGTAACAATGTAAAATATAATGTAAATATAGAACACATTAGGTTTTTTTGTACAAAACGCTATATGCTGAAGCCGTTACAGACTAATGCTCATAATGAGAAGACAGTTTAATACTGGATTTAAAGACATGACTATTTCCAAATACCAATATAGTTATATTAGTGGATTGATAATACTGTATCATCATCAGTTTAGAAATAATTACAGTTTACGATCTATCCATAATTGGTACGTTATTCTCTGGCATCACTGCCATCTATCTACTTTCAAATTGTTTAGACATTACAGTGATTTCTATCCAGAATTGGTATACGTTCTTCTCTCTGCAATTACTGTCATCTATCTATTTTCAAATCGCCGATATGAAAATTATATTAGTAGAATGATAATAACTGTATAATCACCGGTTTATTTATTTATTTATTTATACATTCTTCTCTCCTGCTGTTATGCCACTCTTACTACAGGAACAGGATTCAAGATAAACTCAGGGCAGATATGATTGTATATCTGAACTAGTAGGCCTATATTATCCCCATGTTCATGTCGCTGATAGGATCATAGGTTAAAACAATTTACTGATTGTTTGTCTCTGGTTTCTTCTCTGATTAGGCCGTCTATGGCTTATCCCCGCTGTTTTTTATTTAAGCGCTACCGGTACTTAATTTAATTTGTTATTGTTTTTTTGTTGTTGTTGTTGTTGTTGTTGTTTTTTTTTGTTTTTTTTGGTGATTCAAAACGGCGTAACAGCATAATATATAACATAATAAGTAGTATCTACTACAGGCTTAAGAACTGAATTTGTTGTACGTGTCACTTATATTTTTTCCACAAATCCAAGGATAAAGTGACGTATAGTATTTGCTGAGTAGGATTAGTTTTTATTAAATTGAAGAAGATGTTCCATAACTCATGATCTATTACAAGACGGCTTAGATCAAGGGATTAATTTAAGTGACGGACGAGTGAATCATCTTATTTGCAAATAATTCCTCTATGTTTATAATTAGAATGTATTTGGCTTTTTTACGGAACATCTTTGAAGAGATGTTAAGTTAATAATCAGTTTCAGAACGGTAGATTCGCCGTAAATGTTTCGCCGACCGTGGTGACGACATTTAGAAACCATGACTTCTCGAAACTGAATTATTTAGACGGGAACCACACATTATGACGTTTTCGAAACCTGTATTTTTCGAAAACCCGGCATTAAACTTTACCAAACCAGAAAATTTCGCTGTAGTTTAGCAATTTCGCTCGGTATTAGCCTATTTATAGTATTTGACATGCAGACATGTAAGCAGTGCCGTATCCAAGATCCGAAAAATGCCGGAGGGGTTGAATCGGAAATCCATCAGCGATAGGCCTACTGGTTAAAGACCCGCGGATAATCATTAAAACTTAAGAGAATTTCAATACTGTTTAAGATTTCTGATGATAGATCTTTAAAAGGCTTACTGTTTTCCAATAACAAAACACGTATAATATTCAATCTCAAAACTATTTTTTTTGTCAGTACCCCTTAAGACGGGTCAGTGAGTTAAAAATCAACAAACAGTAACAATTCCCTTGTAACTTTATGGTTAAAAGATGTAGGTATACTAAAAAAAAAAAAAAAAAAAAAAAAAAAAAAAAAAAAAAAAAAAAAAAAAAAAAAAAAAGAAAGAAGAAGGTCATGGCTTCAATTCGTGGTTTTACGTTATTATCAAATAGATCAGCAATAAACCATTGGAATAATAATTATCATTAAAATAATGCTTTAATGGCTAAACGTGATGTATTATGTGATGTTAGCTCATAACACATAATACATAAAATTTAAAACAAAAAGTCATACTGTAAATTGTAATTAATCCTGTGTAATTAAGTAAACGGTACACATTGGTAATTAGACTATAATCAGTCTGAGACCATGGAGAAATAGTTATTCCTCCATGGCCTGACAGTCTGTAATTGAGGTTTGGTGCCCTCTACGATCTTATTTTTTTGTGTTTGCAGTGCAGTACTGTGTTGTTGTGGTATTGACGTAAAAAGTGCACTAAGCAGAAGAGTTTATTGGATCGGCGGTTCTATCGGAATTCAATGATAATAGTTTATCAGCAATTTATCAGTGACCCCTAAAACCTGGCGGCCGAAGAGATTATTAGTAAGAGTTACCTAGCGTGTACTAAAGAGGGTGAGGTTGTCGATGAAAAACCACCTTTTATCGCGTTTCCAGAACACATAGCAGAGACGTTTGCCTCTTCAGGTGACAGCACTTCTGCAGATGAGAGTCGCCGAAGTACTCCTAAAAAAATAGGATCAGCATCAAGTCCAGGCTGTGTCAAAGTAGGTTTTTCGAATAAAGTTAGCCCAAGCCCCGAGTCATTTGACATGTCAAGGAATGGTGGGTTCGAGGAGGTCGAGGGCGTTCAACTGCGGGACATAAGGAGGAGGGATTCGATTGACAGTGACGAAATGACAGATCGGAAAGGGGTTCCACGGAAACAAGCGCGCCCAAACAGCTCTAGTGGTGGACGAGATTACGAAGCGGTTCCTTCGAATGGTGGTGGGCCATACGACCCAGCCGCATCACTCAAGAGATGGGAAAGTGCTGAAGATGTCGGAATCACTATTCATCAGGTACAGTTCTTTTTAATATTTTAATAAGCTTCAAAACACACTGTTCATTGTTATGTTCTAATTCATTGTTACCGGTGAACTTCTAAATCTAGGCCCTATGTGTGACAGTTGTTACAGATACAGAAATGGTGACGGGGTACATCCTACATGCCCTCCACTTCCTCGCAGCAGCAAAAAAATAATCTCTAAGCAAAGCTAAAATTTCTAAGTGATGGCGAAAACTATGTGTGTGTTTCTACTCTGAAAAAAGAAATAGAAATTGACAAACTGTGCTACAATTCAAGAACTCACTGGCAGATTCAATGTGAGACTAGTCACCAACACATCCCCCCTCCCCTAAAAAAAATGGTGTAAAAAGCAAAATATTAATGTAATTTAGGTCTAAGAATGCCATTTTCAGCCATCTAGAGGTGCCATATAATAAGCATACATTTTTTTTACCTTAACCCAACCATGGTGGGGGCTATGGTGGTCTGTGAATGTGATCCTTCCTATGGGCCCCTCTATTTCAAATTCCTGGACCTTCCACTGAACTAAATTCCTAGAAAAAGTTGTAGGCCTACTAAGCTAGTAGAAACACAACATAAATGAGCTTTCAGTGGCTATTTCTGGACCACAAATAGTGGAAAATACACCCTCCCCCCCACCATCCCATACATAGGTCATATGTTTTTGATCAATGTTTTGCGCTCCCCTCAAACGACAGCATCCATCAATCTGATTCTGGATAATCAAAAAACATTTATCTACACAATTTAATAATCTGTATTATTTTCATATAAAATCTAAATATTAAACACAGTAAAAGAAATATATTATAGAACCAAATGTTAAGAAAAAAATTAACTTTAATGGTCCTACTAGTACTATAGTAAATGCTTGTCTTTCACAACACAGATAGTAGCTCTGAAAAGAACAGGTGTAAAGAATTATTTTGTCTTCATTAGTGTTCCCATACATACAATAGGTTTTGGATTGATGTTTTGCGCTCCCCTCATCCGACAACAGCATCTGTCAATCTGTATATCCTGTAATTATTTTCATAAAAAATCTAAATATAAAAAACAGTAATCAAGAGAAATAAATTATAAACCCAAATACCAAGGTACTGTAAAATTGACTTTAATGGTCCTAATATAGTAAATTTTTGTGGTTCACAACATAGATATCTCTAAAAAGAACTGGTGTGAATTATTTTGTCTTCATTACGGTACTTGAAAGCCAGGCTGTGGAGGGAAAAATTGTTAATACCTGTATGTTGTACAACTGATTTTTCTATCGCACAAAAATGGTGTTTGATAGCAAACTTGGGGAATGGTGATGAGATACAAATTTTTTAATAATAAAAAACTGGGGGGGTTAGTTATGCCCCTTTTTTCCCCCTGGTTTTTAAATGTTCAAAAACCTGTGTCTCAATAACCGCTTCAAGTTTTTTAATTAATTTGCAGGATGAAGTTCATTTTTAATTAATTACCTAGAAATACAATGGAAGTGACAAATCATTTATGGCACGTGATTCATTAAAGTTCACTGAAGTACAGTATGCCCAGCGAATTTGAACCACACCCATTTAGAGTGTACAGTAATATTTTCCATCAGTAATCTCGTGGTAGTCTATTTGTATTAGTGGTGTCCTCTGTTGTTGTTGCCGTGGGCGAGCAACACACTTGTGTACTTGCAGTCTAAATGACACAAGTGTATTTGATATGTTCGGTGGACCATGAAATGCATGGTTGAGTAACACTGGGTGTATAGTAATCTAACACTCTTTCGCCATCTATTCAATAACTGTATATCCATATTACAGTACTAGATGCTATGCCGGCACATGGTATAACCTGAATACCATAATTATGTTCTTAACTGTAAACATAGTTTAGTACTGACCTATATTTAAAATAATTAAAAAAAAAAAAAATCCCACCAAAATACCAGATTTTAAATAATCTGAATCAAGATCCAGAAATTAATATTTATTTGCATTGCATCAAACTATCGCATCAAACTGTAATACTCTACATATACTGTTTGAAAAACAGTATAATAAACAGATTGAAAATTATAGTGAAATGCACTTGATAGCTTGACAATTTATCTATCTGTCCTAAAGACAAATTTAATTATGATAACTAATGTTTTACATAAAGATTAAAGACATTGCCTACTTATGAGTTAAAATACATGCAATTATAATATAATATTTCAATTTCTTACTTAAGTTATTACTCTCTAACTTTTAATTGGAAATTAGAAGGTTATATAATGTAAAATATTGTATTTGCCAAATAGACAGACATAACAGTAAGTACTTTTAAATTAATACATTTAAAATTAATTTAATCATTTAATTTTCCAAGAAACAGTGGTAAATTATTCTTAAATAGGCATTTTGATAATTTTTATAATGTTATTATTATTAAATATTGATTTGATAATTTTTTTGCAGGCTGCACGAGATGGTGATGTTGGCGTTATGGAGAGATTGCTCCAGCAGCTTTCGACCAATAAGAAAAGGAAGATAAATGCACTTGATGAAAATAACCAAACAGCGCTTCACTATGCAGCTCGTTATAATCACTTACCCATCGTTACACTTCTCGTGTCTAATGGTGCCAGTAAGGAACGCCTTGACTTGTCTTAACATTACACTGCATTTTGTTTGTCTATCAAATATTGTATAGTTTAGTTATATAGTACAGGTACTGTAATATGTTTTAATAGTTGGTAAACTTATACTGAATTACATTCAGGGCCACTGGCCAGGGCTTGGCTTCTAATAAATTTGTTGTATTTATCTCAAAAATTCATTTATTATGTACATAAAACCTCAACATGGCAGACCAGTATACGCTATGGTAATTCTAATCAATCAATCAATTTAATTCATCTCCCATAGAAAAAAATATTCAAATTTACAATAAAACAGATTCAATAAAATATAATGTAATACGGTACATACAAAAAATATCATAACAAATTAATTAAATACAGGGTTAAAATTATATAATCCATTCAAAAAGGTTGCAACAAAGCAACAAATTATGAAAAATGTTAAAATCATTAACTAAAATATGGAAAACTTAACACTGTCATACAAATAAACTAAATTATTATTATTATTTTATGTTTATCAAGATGTGAATTTGATGTACTGTAATTCTATGTGTGTTACCAAAGAAAAAGCAATTTTTTAATTATAAAATAAGATTCTTTTTTATTTCTAAATTATAGTTAAGTTTATAAATTGACATGATTCAGGGCTTATAATCCACATTCAGGACTATACAACCTGCATTCGTATAGCAAAGCTTTCCCATTGAAATTTTCCGAAACCACTGAAGACCCTTGACCTTCTAATATGTAAGAAAGAGGATGTTCTAGTTAATTGCTTTTCCTTTATTATTTCTATGATACAGTTTTGTCCTTCACATTGACACTTCAGTCAAAGACATGAGTATTACTGTATACTACAGTGCTTTGTATGACCGTTTAATTAGTGTACAGGTACTCTGCGGTATAACATATAATTCTAGTTAGAATAACACAATGTGACTATAATTATATATTTATTTGACTTAATATTATTAAGTTGCTTATATTATGATTCCTGTTATGTTTGGAAAAGAACGTATCCTACTTACAACTGGTTTTTATTTGCCACTTTTGCAACTGTTAGACAGTGTAATTATTTTGTAGTTTATCATCTCTGCCCATATGCTGAAAAGAATATAAATGCCTATAAAATAACTCTTTGTCCATATACAACCATGACCAAACACAAGGATATTATAAAACCAATATACATCATAAATATAGCATATAAAAGGATTTAAGCCTACAGTACATAATGTAAGTGATTTGATTATGGCGTGTATTTCAATACTTGGAGTATGTATTATACTTTCTTATCTGAGATTAATCAGTGGACCTTTCGGTTTTTGATTTGATTATGATCTTCGGATTATTGATGAGACACTAACTAAATGCAGATTAGAAACTAGAAGAAAATTAATTTTTATATGCATTGAAAAACCTTGATATTTATCTAGAACTTAATTAAAGACATTGACTAATTAACTTGTGTGTGCTAATTTAGGATACATACAGTAAATCAATGTCCTAATTAACAGATGTCAATCAAATTTGTGTTGATTAAATGCATAAAATAACGGCAGTGCAGGATTTTGAAACAGAGGCATAGGAAAGCAGGCATGCAGTTAATTGTATTTCAATCAGATTCTGAAGAACAGGTCAAAAGGTTTCCCTGACCACTATGGATTGAAATTCAAAATTGGTTTCATTCCTCTTATTTACAATTACTGTACTGTACACATATTGCTTGTGTCCTTGAGCAAGGCACTTTATCTGCATTGCTTCTCTCTACCCACAAGTGTAAATGGGTATCTGATCACATCATGGAGGTATAAAATTATACCTCCATGATCACATTACCTGCCCCCGCACTGATTAAGCAGCAACATTAAGCATGTAGACCCAATGGCCAGGGAAATGAAGCACTTTGTACTACAAAGAACGGGTGCTATATAAATAATAATAATAATAATAATAACAATAATAGTAGTAGTAATAGATTCTTATTTATAATTATGATCTGTTTTTCTGTTTTTGGTTGACATTGCCATTTCGCACATGAAAAAAAAAGGAATATAAAGATATAGCATGAATAATAGAACTAGGATGCATCCATCCAAGGTGCTATAGAAACACCCAACTTTAATAAAACTTACATTGTATTGTCCCTTCATATACAATATCTCTTCTTAATAACTAACTGAATGAATGGAAATTCTGGTTATACAGCCTGCATGCAAATTGCATTATTATACACTTTATTCAAAAGCATTCTTATCAAGGCTACCAGCTTAAAGCAGTGTCAATAAAATAAGATGACGAAAGCAGAAAGCACTGTAATATTAGTCAATAATAATATTTAGTTTGATAATGGTGTAGATGAATATATTGGATGACATTTCTTAATATATTTTTTTATTACTATTTGATCCATAATATACTATAATATTCATAATGTGATGGCTTTTATATTTTTCATCAATTAGCTAAAATGTTTAAATTGTGTAATGTAATCATACAATTACATAAATTATGCATTTTTTACGATGATATTTCTGCTCAACCTTTTAGACCTTCATAAGCCAGGAGATGATGATTTGACAGCGTTACACTTCGCTGCTCGTTACAAACGAACTCGTGTCTCTGAAGCACGTTCAGATGGTGAATTGTCAAATGACGTAAGTAATATTGTAGCCTGCTGGAATTCAACTTTATAATTCAGACTACAACTTAGATGATTCGTCTAAGGCCAGATAAAAAAAATTACTAGTTTCTCGTCCCCTCGTGCGTCCATTTTCTGTGCCTCACCAAATTTGTGTCCTCTCTCTGTGGATGGGGATATACTGCATATGGTATAAATCATGTCTAGTGTTTCCTTTATTTGCTTTCAATGTGTCCACTTGGTAAAAGTGAGAAAATAGTAGCTGTTTCCCATCCACCATCTTGGATTTGCCACCGCGGAGTAAAAAAAAAAGAGAAAAAGTGCCCTCATTCTCCATTTTTCCGAATATTAGGACGAGAAACTACTTTTTCTTTTTACTTGTCCATGGTGATTAAATTTCCTGTCTATAATCCAATTTAATTCATGGTACATTCACTATAAAGTGTCTCCATGATGTGTGAATTTTAGCCTGCATTTATAAATTCTGTGCAATGTTGAATATCCCTTTTTATTTATTCTTGATTTATTGTGATACACAATCATAAATTTTGCTACTTTTAATAAATAATTACAAAAAAATAATGCACATTAAAATTCTATTTATAATTGAACAAAATTTCATTAAAGCTTATATAAAAGCTGCACATTAAAAAGATAATAATTACAATTATCAATTAACAAATACTTATTTATCCTAGCAATACAAAATTCACTAAAGCAATCAGTTACGTTATTTACAATTATTATAAAAATATATAGCTGCTGTCATTTTGCTGTCATTTTATTTTGATATAATTTTGATGTGTACAGTAGATTAGATGGTTTTATTTTGCGTGAAATCTTTTTATTTTCTCCACAGTCTCAGCAGTATGTTGATATAGTGAGTTTTATTTCAAAGAGAATTAATTATAATTTTTTCCTGCATGTTTATTTTAACATTGGATACTTTCTTATATAATAATTTAATGATCACTCTTTGTAACAGCTAAACAACTAACGTTAATATGTTTACTATTAAAAATTTAGATAATGAAAGAAAATTCACTTTATATGTCACAAATATAGTGTATGATAAACTGGAATTACAAAATGTAATGTAAAGAAAATAAAGAATATAGGATTAGCGAAAGCATTAAATTTGCTTTACCTAGCAAATTTGTGAATCTTCCTTTAAAAATAGATACTACTACATAGGTATTTCATCATCTAACACTTGGTATAGTATCTATTCTTGGGTGTCAATTCATACAGCTGTTGAAGGAGGTTGTTAAGAGCTTCCTTTTACTAGGTTGTTGTCTTAGCCTGGTGCAGTAAAAATACTACAAGACTTCTATTAGCAAAATTAATTTTTATATATAGAGGTGGCTAAAAAATATATTTTCGTTTAACAAAATGGTTCTGCCAATACTATCAAGGTGGGAGGAAATAAAAAATATAATTTTATTGACAAATTAAGCATCATTTATTTTATTTTTTTGAATCAAATTATTTTTGTGAATAAATTTCAGTTTTATTATAATGATGTGGCTCTCATTTGCTTTATCATATTATGCAGTAATTTGAAAAAAATCACCTTTACTATTTCCATATTGCATGAATTATTATTATTATTAGTTATTCAGATATGACATTACAAATATACAATAACAAATTAAAAAGGAGTTGCCAGGAAGAAATAAAAGTAACAAAGAAGCTACTGTCATCAAGTATATATTCCTCCACCTCCAATCTAATAAACACTAATTGTAACTAATACCAAATTACAAAAACTACAATTAAGACAAATATGGAAGTAATTGATATATGCACATAATGCAATTATATAAATCTTAAATTAAATAGCTCAAAAATGTAAGTAGCACTACACAATTAATAGCAATAAAAATAAGGATTTATGTATTATCATAATTAATTCACTTTTTATATATGATACACAATAACATAATTCAAGAGGTTAGACCAGCCAATATGAAGATGTTCCTTAAACTGATGATGCATCAAATGTAAACATGTCTAGTTTGTTTCTTTAATAACTCTGGATAAACCGACTAATTGCATATTCTCTCCCTAAAGAAAACACCCCTCAAAAATAAAATGGAACTGTCAGCCCAGAAAATTGAAATTTTCAATTGTATTATATATTTATAATTTTTATTAACCCTACCTACATCATAGAACTAAAATATAAGCATTTTATAGAGGGTATAGTCTAGGTCTTAACTTCTGTTACTAATCCCTTTTATTATTCCCCAATTCCCCCTCCTTGCGATGTATAAAAATCCTTCTATGCAGTAGTATTAACTCTGGTTGAATATTATTTGAATACTAATCCCAAGTGTACGTTTGTCTATTGCATGATCATAAATGTGTCTTGTTATTGCGAATCAGCTGTCACTTACAGAAGATGTAATTTGTTGCCTCCATGATTTGGAGGTCAAAGAATACATTTCCAAGCATTTTTTTTTTTATTTCAAAATAATGTTGGTTAAAAATGACTCACCACTTACATCTATTTACTTGACTTTTGACTCATTTTATTATATTCCCTTTTCCACTTGTTTAAATATGAAAAAAACTTTTTTTGTATTTATTTATTCCTCAATGCAACAATATTATATGCTATAAATTATAACAATAAATTACATCCTCTTTGACTCTGTAGTAAACCTGGTTAAATAATTTTGAGTGTTTTGTATCTCAATGATGATGATTTAGAGGTCATAGAATATATTTCCAAGCATTTTTGTATTTCAAAATTATGCAATGTTTAATAAATATGACTAATTTTGGGTGTTTTGTATCTCAATGATGATGATTTAGAGGTCATAGAATTATTTCCAAGCATTTTTTTATTTCAAAATTATGCAATGTTTAATAAATATGACTATCACTAGTATCTAATTTTTATTCTTAGCATTTGACTTTTGACTCTTTTAATAATATTCTTTTTCCACTTGTTTAAATATAAAAATTCTAACTGTATAGTTAACTTTTCTTTGTATTTATTTAATTCCTCAATGCAACAATATACTATAGATTAAAATGAAAAATAACATCCTCTTTGACTATAATAAACCTGGTTAACTGATTTTGAATGTCTTGATGATAATTATTAATTTGTAGCAATAAATCACTGTATTGTATTGCTACACAATAAAGTTTAATATACTTTAGGGAAGATTTAAAGGATAATATTTTTCCCATTGGGGTGACGGGAGCTGGTGGGGTGGAGGGTACTGGTAGTGTTTTTGTTTTTTTAAAGAGAGGTGGTCCATTAGTAACTCTTTAGACTTTCACTGTATATTCACATGCATTGTTGATTCAACAAACTAAGTGTTCTCATCCAAGTATTATACTAAACAGAGTATGTTTACCTAAGGTGAAATACAAACAGGTTTCACACTGCTCTACAGCATAATTATGTATTCAGTCACAATCATTTTTCGACTTTGTATGTATTAATGTCGATTATTATATTTTGTAGATTACAAAACATTATTTAGATTAGTTTGCCCTCATTGACATTTTGTATTTGTAATACAGTACTTTAGAATCAGGCAGTGATCTAGAACCTGACATATAAAGCCTTGAATTCCATAGTATAAGTAAGACATTGATAATCACTGGAGCATTACCCAGCATCATCAACATAATATACTTTTCTTATATTTCTTTTGAATCTGTTACAAACTATCCCATGGGTAATTATTTGATCATCTTATTTTTATGGATTCTTTGGTTTTGGGGATTCATCAACTTATTTATAGCAATTTATTTTTTTAAATTTAATTGTTTTGTGTATTAGAACAGTGATTGAAATATGAAATAAACCAGTAGGTCGATGCAAGTGTTTTATTGGAATTAGTGAATTATTGGCATTATATGCACTATAAGATTAATATTAATTTAAAATTATTAATTATATGAAAATCAAATAATTTGACGCTACTGAGACTTTTACCAGGGCTGTAATTTTACTGGCGAGTGTGATGTGAAAAGAACTATTGAATTCAACCCTAAAAAAAATAATAAAAAATATGTAAAGAATTGATATGATGGAGATATTTATTGTGCTAATAATCTTAATGATGAGTAAATGATGATGATGATTTTGATGGTATTGGTGATGATGATGTTGTTTATTACTATTGACATTATTTACATAATCCTTGTATTTTTAATTAATATCTCATTATTTCTTTTTGTACCAATATTCTAGGAAGTTGATGATGGAATTGGTGGGCGGGTTTCTAGTGTTATTGAGTATCTTGAGAAAAAGGGAGCAGACGTGAATGTAAAAGACATATATGGGTCGACGCCCCTTCATTTTGCCGCAATGCGTGGCAATGAGGTGGCCGCAGCGGACCTCTTGCAGTGTAAACAGATCAACATCGAGGTAAGAAAAATGAAAACATAATAACGAATAAGTAACACAGGCTATATTACTGTAGACAAATAATAATAAATATGAATTATAAAGCGCATATATCCACTAAGATAGTGCTCAAGGCGCAACAGACAGAAACATGAAAAAGCTTGTACTAGAAAGCGTGAAATATACCCATGAAATGTCCTAAGCTAAAACCTGTAGAAAGCAGAAGAAACCTGCATCACCGCTTTGTTTACCAGCACATTGAAGCCTCAATGAGGGCTTGCTAGTTCACAACTCACAAAAGCTCTAATGGTGCTAGTGTTTGACTATCCTACCCAATTAAAAAACCGACAAAAAGTGAGCAAATAAAACAGAAACAGTGAGATTACTTGACAGGCTTGTTAGTGCTTTGTGATATGTCAACAGATTAGCTGTATGTTTAATAGTACAATGTAAGGTGTAGTACTACTACTCCATGTAACATAGGATAGTTAAATGTGTCGTAGGATAGTTAGATGTGCTATATAAACAAGTAGGCTGTATTTTAATAGTACAATGTACACATTACTACTGCATGATTATTTCAGGGATGTTTATATATTAATTTGTATTAATATCTAGGCTGTTGATAAGCAGCAGTTGACACCACTTCACAACGCCTGTATCCATGGTGTTAAAGAGGTCGCTGAGCTGCTGATTTCTGCTGGTGCCAACATCAGATGCAAGGATGAAGACGATTCCACACCACTTCACTTTGCTTGCACTGAGGGGCACGAGGAACTTGTTAAACTCTTGTTTGCTGCAGCTAAGAAGCAAGGATGTATCAGTGAGGTACTATAAACTTTTAAATCTAGAAATGATAATGATAAAGAAAAGAAAATTTGTGACCCAAGCTCACAAAATGGCTGTAAACTCGCACTGCACTGTACACCGACTGCTGACTCTAACTATTCATGCTCTCAGCTCTTTTTACAAATTAGTAGATAGGTCAGAATATTTGTTTGTTTCCTAAGTGTTTCTAAGGTCCATAGATATAATGTTATTTCCTGTCCCGATTATTTTTCATACTTGAAAACTTGTATAACCTCTGTGTCATGCAATCTAATCTCAATAGGACAGGGCAAAAGAAAGAAACAACCTTGACATAAATAAAAGTAGTTGCATAATGTTTCATTTATATAGCATGGAAATATGCAGACATTTTGTCATACCACTCACACAGTGGCGAAAAATATGTGAGCTCTCACTGGCTAAACCTAGAGGCCTCATACCTGACATTTATCAGCAGACTTGATACTTATCAGCATAAAAAAAAAACCCCATCAAAATACATTATTAAATATCAAAAACATCAAAGTTGGTGGACCTTTGATAGTACCCCACTGGGCAGAGTTACCCGAACGCTTCTCTCAAGGTGATAGAGCTTGGAGAAGCCTTAGGTACGGGCCCTACAGTCACTACATTTACAATTTGTAATTCTCTTTAACTAGCATATTTTGATCAACATTCTTAATATTTTTGTGTGTAATAATATTTATTCTTAGGATTTTTTAAATATTAACCTTTATGCTCAGATGATGACATTTATTTATTTTTGCTGGTACATTTGAACATCAAGATGCATTGTGTGTTAAAATTTATTACAAGTAAATTGTTTTCATGTCTTTAATCAAACCTTCAATTTCAAAATTTATGCTAAACAATTTCATCTCTTCCCATCGGAAATTTGAGTTATTGTAATTTCACTATCTTTAGGAAGAAACATTTAGTAAAATAATAGTGTTATTAACACCAATATCTATCAGACAAGTTACTCATGGCGCTTGATGCGTGGACTTAAAATAGTAGCTCGTTCATTGACAAGTAACAGGGGCCCAGTCTGAATTTTCTGGTTTATAGAAAAACTGAGTTAGTTTTTCACTTTGTAATAATGATGTAAGATATTACTGTACATACATCTTTTCTGACTCTTCTTTTATTCTGTTGTAAAGTGAATTGAGAGTTTTTTCAAGAGTAATATTTTGGTGGAAATTTACGTAAATGTGATTTTTGTATATTAAGATGCTTCGAGATGTGGACAATGAAGATAATACACCTCTCCACCTGGCAGTTGATAGTGGACATGAGGGTGTCGTTGATTTGTGTCTCTCAGAAAGTAAGTAAAGATTCCACGTCCTGAAACCTCATAATGAAACAGACTTAGTTGTTAGTGCGACATTCATCCTGTAGTTGGAATTGGTGTGCTTGCTAATGGATGTAAAGAAAATATTCAAACTAAACTCTGGTAAAAAGAAATGTCATCCAATGGTTAGTCTTCTACAAGGCCATTGTTACTGTCTATCTTGACCTAGGTAGGGATTGGAGATTGCGCTAGGGCGGTGGCGGATGATGACCTCTCAGAGATTCTGCATTTAATTTTTTTTAAATATATTTTATTAATGAAACAAATTCATCTGGTTGTTTATATTGTAGTAGGTTGTAAAGTTATTTTTAATCAACCAATAAAGGTGAAGACATATTTAAAGAATGTTTTGAGAGCTTTTTGGTCTCATTCTGAACTGGCGTTTCATTACTTCTTTCTAGCAGAGAAATGTTCGATGATGTTGTGCTGATTTGGAATAGCGCCACCAACTTTAGGCCCTATCAGACATCTCATATATACCAGCTGCCAGCTGCTACTTAATTATATTTTATTTATTTATTATTTTAATATAAAGTGCAGAGAAGCTTTTTCTATCATTATGCGCAATACAAAGTGTAATATTATTTTTATTATTATTATTATTGTTATTATTATTATCCTATCCTACTATTATTATTATCCTATTATTATTATTATTATTACTATTATTATTATTATTATTATTATTATTATTATTATTATTATTATTATTATTATTATCCTATCCTATTGTTGTTGTTATCATTAATATTACTATCCTATCCTATTGTTGTCGTCGCCGCCGCCGCTGTTATTATTATTGTTATTATTATTATTATATTATTATCACAATACAAGTACAAGTCTATTATAATCCTGCTTGGGGGTATTTCGTGTAAAATTTATGAATAATGTTATTTTACATTTATACTCATTTCCTAGATGCTAATGTGAACTGTCGTCGGAAGGATCAGGACACGCCTCTTCACTCAGCAGCTGTTGCCGGGAACCCTGATATTGTCAAGAAATTGCTAGCCCACAATGCACGTATTGATGCTGTAAACAAGGATCATGCTACAGCCCTACATCGCGCCTGTCAGTTCAACCGTTCACAAGTGGTCGAGTATCTGATCGAGAAGTAAATATTTTATTAATTTTACATTATAAAACCAAAATCATATAGATGACTAATATTACTAATTTATTTCATAATTAATTATGGTCTAATGCCTCGATGGTGTATCATAATCATGTGACATATTGCATCAATTTTGGCCTTTAGGATCAATTAAATTTATGCTTATCAATATAATCATAGCGAACCATTTATAATATGATTTTAATGTGTCATCTGGATAAACTAAGGTGTTTGCTTCAGTCTGTCATTCAGCATGTAAAACTTTGTTAACACTATGAAGTTTTATGTGACAGATAATGGTATTTGCCCATATATGGATGTGATGTGACATCATCATACCCATATATTATCATATAACATATATTTGTCACATAAAACTTCTAGTGTGGACACATAAGCACACTATTGTTGATTAGTGTGAACTTCCAATCATTATATTATAATAACTACAATAATCCAATATGCTGACTCTATCAGATCTCTGTCAGACTCAACATACTTTTTGGTCAGACATTGTCCAATAGCATGCTTATTCCAGACTTATCTGATGAAACAAAATCACGTCTTTCAGTGCCTGTTAAGTCCAACTCAAACAGAGTTGTAAGACGCAACCCGGTCACTGTGTGAGTTAAACGCTGATGCGATAGTCCTGTGTCGGGCACAGTCATGACGTAGAATGTTTGATATTCTCACAACAACCTAAAGGCTGTCCCTGGCAATAAATCGTGTTAGGGTGCTGTCTGAGATGGCCTCTGGCGGTCTGAATATTCTCATCTTTATCAGACAAATCAAACTTTTTCTGTTGAAAGTCTGAATGAATTCTGATAGTGTAACCCTGGCTTATACCTCTGTCCACACTGTTATCACAAATACCAGGGGCAGATCCAGAATTTTTCAAAAGGGAGAGGGGGAACAACAGTCTCAGAATAGGTAAGTGAGTAGCACATACCTTTGATTTGCATTGAAAATTTTTTAATTGAGTGGCAAAAAGGTGGGAGGGGGGAGGAACATGTCCCCCCCATTCTCCCAACTGGATCTGCTCCTGAATACCTATGATTTGTCCATATATGGGTGTGCTGTGATACCATCATCCCCATATATGGTCAAATTATACATACAGTTGTTGCAAAAACTTTGATAGTGTAGACAGAGCTTCATATCGTTTTACTCATTATTGCCTTTTCTGCCGCTGTATTTAGGAGAGCAAGAATTGAGCGCAAAGATAAGGATAACTTCACACCCTTACTAATAGCTGCATGCTATGGCCATGCCACTACCATTGAAATCCTTTTAAAATATAAAGCTAAAATAACTGCAACTGACAAACAGGAAAAGAGCGTGTTTTATTTAGCAGCTGAAGAGGAGCATTACGAGGCACTTCAGGTTGGTCATGTGATTAAACAGAAATCTTCAGAAGGAAATTTTTAAAATTATATTTTGCTCATATTATTTTATTAATTAGAAATTGTACAG